AATATGAATATTTTTCTGTGCTGGTGTTGTGTACTCAGGTGAATAATATGTTTGCGATGTTACTCTGAGTGCATATCCACACCGGGCGAGCTTGAAAAATATGCCCGGCCACGGTGGGATTCGAACCTACGATCTTTGGAATATTAGCCCAATGCTCTTCCAACCGTCCTGACCGCGTAGCTCAGTTCCAACCGTCCTGACCGCGTAGCTATGTACCGTGTATAACAGTATATTCTAAATTTTTATTCCCTTAATTTTAATTATCTCAATATTATTATACTTAGTGTGTATTATCACAACAGGTTCATCACCATGTATCGACATGCAAATGTGCAGTGGCCCGCCATATCATCCAACATGTGGTGCTCCATTGCCTATATGTTCCATACCATCAGCACCAGTACTTGAAGTGTCACCCCCTGAAAGCACACCATCACCTGTTGCTGTGGTGCCAACAAAGGGACCACCTCTGGAGGTAACTGGAGCAGGTCAAACAGGGACTAACACGGGGGCTAATACGTCACCAAATACCAACACACCAGCACCTAACTCCGACACTCCTGGTACAAGCACACAACCAAGTACAAAACCACCTACTAATACAAATAATATTGGCAACACAGCAACTGGCAATGCACCATCTGCTAATACCAACACACCATCACCAAATACTGATCAACCACCTGGCACCAACACATTACCCAGTCCTAATATCCCTACCACAAACGCACAACCAAGTACCAAACCACCAACTAATACAAATAGTAACGTTTCACCAGGTAGCACACCAGCACCCAACGCTAACCAACAACCATCCAATACCAACACACCAACTAATACAAATAGTAACACTTCACCAACTAACCAACCGTCACCCAACACCAACCAACAACCACCCAATACCAACACACCAAGTAATACAAATAGTAACACTTCACCAACCAACACTAACCAACAGTTACCCGACACTAACAAACAACCACCCAATACCAACAAGCCAACTAATACAAATAGTAACACTTCACCAACTAACCAACCGTCACCCAACACCAACCAACAACCACCCAATACCAACACACCAAGTAATACAAATAGTAACACTTCACCAACCAATGCTAACCAACCGTCACCCAACACCAACCAACAACCATCTAATGCCAACACACCAACTAACACAAATAGTAACACTTCACCAACCAACGCTAACCAACCGTCACCCAACACCAACCAACAACCATCTGATACCAACAAGCCAACTAACACAAATAGTAACACTTCACCAACCAACGCTAACCAACCGTCACCCAATACCAATCCACCATCAGACAACACCAAATCGCCATCAGACAACACCAACCCACCAACTAATACAAATAGCAACACTTCGCCAACTGATAACACGGCCACTAGCACCAACCCAACCCAATCTGCTAAAACTGGTTCTCCAGCTGGTGGCAATGTACCCCCAGGTAAACCCGGTGTATCAGTCAACTGTGGTGAGATGGTGAAAAGTTGTAACGATGGTAATCATGTGACCGTGACAGTCTCTGTACCAATACATGGTGGAAACAAACCTTCTCCTAAGGGATCAGGCCTAAGTGAACTTCAAAGAGATGCAAACAGTAAGTATTAGTTTTATTGTCAAGCCTGGTAAAAATATAGATTAGCTAGAGGAATGAATACACTAAGTACTCAGAGTAGGCTATTAAATACTCAGGCAACAACGTTAAATATTCATGAGCAAGAGTCACTAAATATTCGCGCAATTTTTCTGCAATGGATCTAACTGTTCCCAGTATTTTTGACCCAGTGGCCACGTTTTCATGTTTTCCTGTTTTAGCATTACAGGTACACATTAAGGTTATGCCCCTATGTCTCGTGCACGAATTTGTTTCCCTTTCATCTTGATCACAAGCCTATCCTTAAACCTATTGTACACGAAAAACAAGGAAATAACCCAGGGCCGGATTAACGTTCCGCAGGGCCCGTGGCATATTATGGGGCGGACCCCCTTCCCAACCGTCCGAACGGCATTTTAAATCCTGAATTCAGTAAAATTAAAAAAATATCATTTTGTATTTCATGCGTTGAAAAGTTTCCTGTGTATTTACAAAAAGAGAAAGAATTATACATCAATATAATATTTTGTGTATTGTATTCGAACTGAAATTTAACCCGATTTATACCATTAACATTATTATTTACAGGGTAAAGATAGCTAAACATGATAGCGTCCATATAAACTTCTGCCGCCTTCCACGAAATTCAGCGATCTTTTAGTATTTAACAGTTTGCTGCAAATTTCGAAATTTTCTGAACCCTATGATTTTCTGGCCTCGCGATCGCTTTTTTGGAGCCTCTTGCCCAAAGAAGGAACAAAAAATTTTGTGTTCGCGGGCCTGCTTTTGGAACCTCGCCTTTTTTAACTTTGGGGCCTCGTGGTTTTTTTAGTTTGTGGTTTTGCTTTGGGGGCCTTGGACTCTTTAGGGCCCCGCGCTGTTTGGATCCCGCGCTAAAACAGGGAACAAAATAATCGTTTGGGCCCCCGCACTTTGGGGCCTCGATTTTTAAATCTTGGGAGCCTATAGCGTTTTCTGGGGACCTTGGATTCTTTGGGGCCCCGCGCTGAAACACTAAAACAAGGAAGAAAAAGAAAACATTTGGGGCTGATTTTTTGGGGCCTCGTATTTTCTGGGGGACTTGGGCTCTTTGGGGCCCCGCACTGGCGCATTGTTTGGGCCACGCGCTGAGACAGGGAACAGAAATTTCACAAAAAGAATAGAAAAGAGAAGCGCGGGGCCCGTGGCATATGCCGCTTCTGCCATATGGTCAATCCGGCACTGAAATAACCAGATGAAAACGAGACTAAGAGTGTAATAAAAGAGTAGAGTCTATTGCACAGAGCGGTGTCGCAATAAACGGTTCGCATGACTATCCTACAGTTGGTAAAGCTTGACATGTTTAGGAAAATGATCTTTGTGAAATTCATTGCTTTGAGAGTCGTACATATCTTCTTTGCCGAATAGATTTAAACAAACATTGCCTAACTTTACAAAACTACAATCCTGGATAGCGCGTGCGTAGATAGAAACACCTGGCTTCCCCAAATCCAATGCTTGCAAAAACAGCATGCAATTTTCAACGTCTTTTCGATTGATAGGGATGCAACTACCTGAAAAATACAAGGAGAACTTCGACGTTTCAAGGAAGGTCCTTCGTGGGGAACTTAGTAGCGGAGGCCCCACGTCCCTGTTAGATGATTAGGCGAAACTCAGTAGATTTGTGAAATATACAATGTTACAACCAACATTGTACGGGGGAGCGGGAGATCAGTACTGCACTGGAGATACAAACTATTAGTGCTACTGCATTGGAGATACAAACTATTTTAAGATGCCACTATGTGTACATGAACAGTATCCTCCGAATTTTTGCCATGATTGTAGCTTTTAGAAAATTTATATTCTAGCGACCTTCGATTTTTGCCCAGTCACGTTTAAAAGGAAAGGTTGTTATAAAGACAAGCATGATGGTATCCACCCGCTGCCAGAACTTCTCTTTACTGATCGTGATAGTTCATCTAAAGTGTTTTCTGGGACTATTATCTCTTCAAAAGATTGGGGAAATTATATTCTAAAATTAATATGTCGATGTGCGGAGCAAGCTAATCAGAAGAGGTTTACATTCTTTGGAATTCAACGGTATGGTAAGTGTGCAAACTACATGAACTAAGATTTAGTTATGAGGTTGACTTGCTTCGATCATTTCTTTTTGAGTAATCCATTGCTGCACGTTATTTCTCCTGTTTGTCTTTCTCCTAAGCCATATATATAGTCTGTCAAGATATGATCTGAAACCAGTTAAGGGGGGGGGGCAGTTCAACGTCAAAGCCACAAAATGGAAAGACTGGTTTTGTTTGATGTTGAACTGTATCTCACCGTGCACAAACCTTTGTCTTAACTTCGTTAAATGTTACTCATCGTGATTCGTGGTTGCACGTTATTCCTATTGCCATGATTACTTCATTATACGAAAATACATTGCATGCGCTCAATCACTGTGATCCTTCGGTTTATATTAAAGCAGTTCATTAAAATAATAGTAAGTGTGTGATAGGCTACCCTATAATATCAAGCATATTAGGCGTGTTTCAAAAGTCGCGCTTCTCATGTGCCGAATGCATTAGAAACAATAGATGAGGCATTTCAGCTGATTATCTATTGTTTTTAGTGCGTTCGGCACATGAGAAGCGCGACGTTTGAAACAGGCCTAGCTTAGAGTATCCTGGACAGTTGGTTCGGTCGCAGCCGATCAATGAATACGACCATTAGTGGTTTGTAATCAATCTCTTGAGATAAATAAGACCGCAAATATACGGCGGCCATGTTGGAGGAAAACAGGCCCCAAATACAACAGCTGCCAATGATATTCTTTTGTTAGCTAGCACTCCTTCAACATGGCCGCCATGACGTCAAGTGCAAACCAAGAATACCAAATTATATAATTGTTCTTGACAATGGTGTAATGATTTTAAAATTATATCTTCGAAAGAGATTTACCCTGCCACACATTTTGATGAAAGAAACGTTGATAGTGTAAACAAGCCTAATTTGTTTTCGTACCAGATTCGTTTTCCACCTATATAGCTGTAGTGTTTTTTAAAAAAGAACATCCATGATATAAATATATTGTTGTAGGAGATTGTTGGAGTGGAATGCAATCGTCAATAAATAGTTACGAAACTCAAGGGACGTCAAAAGCATGTATTGCACGCGATCAGTCACCTTGTGAAGAGGATAGTGAGGCATGTGTGGGAGAAAATGGGGCCAATTTCGTTTATGAACTCTTAGGTAAGATTCATGTTAGAAACTCTCGATAAAAATAAATTATGTATCTGCAAATAAACAACTGAGTAAGTAGTAATAAAGTTCAAATGAATAGTTACAGAGATGAGGTAAGTATATGAAGTAATGAAACTCTGGCGTAGTCATCAGAGCAATCGCCTTTCGCCTCGAGTTCGATTTCTACGGATTCATGTGAAAAGAGTCGCCGAAAGTCGTGCATGGGTTTCTTCGCGTTCTCCAGTTTCCATCCACACTCGGACCCATCCAGTTAACTTTCCCTGTGGAGTGTCACACTCCACAGGGAAAGTTAACTTGGTGGGTTACATAGTTAGTGTTGATAATAGCCAGGATAGTTTCGAATTCAATTTGGATAAAACATGCAGGAGTGAGTTTGTTTTATCCAAATTTCAAGCTAATTATAATAGCTTGAAAATTTCACTCAATAGAGCTTGTTAAGGTAAAGTCTTTTCCATTTTGAAAAATGATATTTTCCACTTGCGGTGATTTCAATGCTTATAACTTCTTGCTTTTGTATGTATAATTATAATACTGTCAGTGGTGAAGCTGCCATAGCAACAGGTCATACTATGCAAGTTTTCAATGCCTGGTTCACACTAGTCGTAAGAATCGGGGATTGCCATTGTCTGTGGTCATTGGTGTGTAAAATGCTTTGTCTGTCGGAAAAGAATACAATAGATCGCCGATGAATTAAGACCAGTGTGAACCAGGCTTTAACAGCATAGCATGACCAGTTGCCATGACTAGCTTGCTACTGAAAACTGTACAATATCATATATATAAACAATAATAATACTTGAATGAATCATTGGACATGTAGAATTTAATAACAATTTCATATGGCACCTTGAAGGCTATGTTCACAGAACAACTGAATAATCTACTTATGCATGGGGAGACAAAATCTATTTGTCGACATTTTTGTTTTATATGTCTGCTCCAGATGACACCATTCATTTGCAATGACGGACAAAGATTGTACTCAGTCATATAACTGCAAAACTATATAATAAGAAAGAAATTGTGAGCATTATCGAAAAATATAGTATACCCTGAAATGCAGTGACACAGGTACACAGCCAGGTGAATTATTCGTGATATATATGATAACCGGTAGGATTATTTCATATTATGCTAACAATGGACATATCTCAGAGATATATTTTTACAGACTGTCATATACCTTGTATAAAAGACGGTTTACATATTATTACATGTAACTGCTGGTAAGCTAGTTAATTTAATTATGTGCAGACAACAATCCACACTGTCACTGCGTTAACTGCATGGGTTGCTATCCTATATCTTTACATTATAAAGCATATACACAACTGATTCCGCGTTTGTTCTTAAAACGTGCTGAAATCACATTGCTCTGTCTATGAACATCTAGAATGAACACTATAAACTCATCGTCTTGGCACATCGCCACACAATAGACCTTTCCCCTTATGAGTGAAATTTTGATCTAGATATGCCTGGATAAAAATTTCATTACAGCTTGAAAGCGCATCACAAAAATAGTAATATTCCAAAGTTTCGTTGCGAAATGTTGTAAAATGCGGATAATATAGCCTTGCAGAGTTTGCCGTTTTTCAGTCATTTTGCATTACAAACGGGAAATTGATAATCAGTTTGATCATCTGTCATGAGTAATTCGTTCTTCCGGACCTTCCGGACGAGTTTGCAGGAAACATCTTTTTAGATTTTTTCTTAAAAACGCCCCACGTTTTATACTGAAATTAGTCGTCTGTTATAGGTGGTCCTGGTCCTGAGAAAAAGAACAAGATTTCTCACAAAAAAACAAGAATAAAACTTGCAAAGGGTAAACGAGCAAGAAATCATCACGTTATAAAGAAACATCTTCAAAATTTTTAACCGAAATCTTTCCATGGACTACGTCGTTTGAAGAGGCCTCGTTGATTTGGCGCAGCAAGTTTGTGAAATGGGGATAATAATAGAATATTTTTTTACGGTTTTTCCAGGATAGTATTACGCCATACAACTGCGTAGCTGTAGTCAGGAGGGTCGGGGTGATTATGGGCCTGTGGTTGTAATAATTTGATTTATTGTCGGAATTTTTTATCTACCAAGAAGAACTGTAAGTTACTGTAAATCTATAATCAGTAATTTAAGACCAGTTAGGAACGAAATTATGCAAATACGGAATGTGTATAAATTGTTAAATAACAATTTTCGTTTGATATTTGATCATTAATATAAAACGTGCTATTAAAAAATCTTTGTAAGATTAATAATATCAAAGTAGGCCTGGAATGACGAAAAGAGTGTTTACTCACTTATTTCTTGGCATTCAATAGTTTTACCAGTATATATAGCGGCCAGCGCGTGCGTATAAAAATTTCTCTGGTGTAATCCTCTAATCTGTAACTCTGTCGGTTTGAAGATCGAATTTATCAATGTGGAAGTATCGGACGTGATTGATTGTTTTGATTCAACAAACTGTAGAGCTGTGCGGTTTCAGAATTTTTATCTCGGTTCCGGTTTTTCTGGAACAGAAAAACCTCGGTTCGGTGCGGTTTCGGTTATTTTCAAAAAAGAAGAACAGTACAAATGTATGAACTCGTTTATGTATGTTTCGAGCATTTTTACTAAATAGATGAATTTATGCCTTTGTAAGTTTGTATAAATCTCTGAATATTTTAAAAGAGCAATCAAATTGGAATTTATTTATGAACATAAAATATTTCTTTTCAAAAAAATTTAAAGCAAGAGCATGCACATCAATAATTATCACAACTAAAATATCAACTGTTTGAGCACTTAGTCGTTAGTTCAGTGCATATTGTGCACAAAGAGCACAATCTTGTTATTTTCCAAACATTTCAACCTGCAATCAGTTGGGCGTTTGGCGGGCGTTAAACAGGAAATTAAAACCGAAACTACCGATTCTTTTGCGTGTAATTTTTCGGTACTAAAAAAAGTACCGGAAGAACCGAATTTTTCGGTTAATCGCACAGCTCTACAACAAAGCAAAATCATAAAAAAATTTCTACCAGGTCTGAAAGATACGCAAAGACAAGCCTTTCGCGAAATCCTTGCAAACCGTGTTGAGATCTCTGTGAGGCTTTTGAGAATTGAGAGAAACGGCTGAATAAATGTTATAGCACCATCCAACCAGGCGTGCTTCCAGATGAAGCTGGAAAATCTTGTTCCGGTGTTCAAGAAGACGATGAAGAATATGTGGAGAACTATCGGTCAATATCTCAGCTAACGATCATATCAAAGGTTCTTGAACGGTGTGCTCTGGTCAGACTGCGGGACCACCTTTTGCAAATGCTAGACCGTGTACAACATAGATTTATTCCTGGCAAATCATGTGCTACCCAGTTGGTTGAAATTGTCGACTACATTGGCTCGTTACTAGAATCTGGCAAACAAACGGATGTGATAGTGATATGTCTAAAGTTCAACATTCTCCTATGAGTCTTATCATTGCTAGATATTGCGGCAATGTAACATTTGTGTTAGTTTGTTGAGCTGGTTCACATCATGCCTTCATGGGCGAAGACAACGAGTTACAGTACTTGGTGCAACATCTCGAGAACGAGCGGCAACATCTGGAGTTCCTCAGGGTTCGATACTTGGCAAGTATTTTTTCTTTTATTTGTGAACGATCTGCCCAAGACTGTAACTGTATCGAAAGTGGTTTGCTTCGCTGATGACACTAAGAAGGTTCTGAAGGAAGTTGACAGCCTACAAGATACCGTTGATCTTCAAAACGACATTGACAATTTCAACTCTTGGGTCGTATTCAATGGTTTGACATTCAACTAATCAAAATGTAGGTGCCAGCGTATCACACATAGAAAAACACCTGTCAACTATCAATACGCTTTGAATGGTTCACTAGTAGGTGCTGCGAACCAAGAAAATGATCTAGGTGCATGGGTAATGGGTATCGAGTGACTTGACCTGGAACAAGCAAGTTGTTGAATAAAGCTCAAAAGCAAATAAACTTCTGGGTTTTCTCAAAAGATTGTCGAAGGGAAATAAGAAATCATAGAACAAGAAGCTGCCTGTTCTTAGCGATTGTACGACCACAAGCAAGTGGAACGAGTGCAGCGTTGTGCAACAAGGTTCATCTTAAACCTATACTATTCGATTGTGAAACCAGCTACAAGGATCGGATAAAAGCAAGCAGCTTATAACTACCACTTAGCTTCTGACATGAATATTTAGACATGAAATTTCTTTTCGAAATGATCAACGGTTTGGCATGGGCGTACCGGAAGGAAAAAATTAGGGGGGCGGAAAGAAAATTGCCCGACTTTTCGGGATTCTGCCCGACTAGTACCAAAAAATTTTTTCCGGAAAAATTATTTTGGCGACCCCCCCCGTCGCCAAAAAAATTTCGATCAGTGTACCATTTTAGGGGTCAAAAAAATTTTCCGGACAACCAATATTTTTCGGAACATAACACAAATTTTCGAAAAATCGCAAAATTTGCCAAAAAATTGACTTAATTAATTTTAGACAAAATTGACAGAATTTGTCCCATTTTTTTTAATGCAAACCGAAATTGCCCGACTGTTGATCGAATATTGCCCGACTGCCCAAAAAACTGGGGGGCTACCGCCCCCCCCCGCCCGGTACGCCTATGCGGTTTGGTGTATGTTAACGACGAAATCATTCCAGAACGAAATTTTGGAAACAAGAGAAAAACAAGAGCTGTGAGCAATCCAGAAAGCATTCTGCTCCGTGAAAAAATGCAATATGGTGACATTAAGTCTTTTGATTACTCGAATATTACAGTACTATTTTAAACATACACTATGAACCTGAAAATCCACTGACATGGAAATCTATCTGCCTAAAATGTAATACGGCTCGAAATCTTGCTACTCCAATCTCTTGCTGTTTTTAATAATAGCGAGGTTTGAATTTGGCATCCGCGCCACCACTCCGCTACCTCTCGCTGACCTAGTACGCATATAATTTGGTTAGTTTGGTATATTGTTTCATGGTCCTTACTGGTAGCTGTGGTGGTGGTAGATGTCAAATTTGAATCTCTGAAATTGTATTGTACCGTATCTTATCGTATTGTATTTTTTTGTAATCACTGCATTGCATTGCGTTGCGTTACATTGTATTATCGTATCGTATTGTATTCTTAAATTAACTTTATTTAATTTAATAATGTAACAATTCAATTGTTGAGGTGACCCTGCCACTCGTATAAGTGGCAAAGTTTAACAAATAATTATTATATGGCAAGCATCACTTCCGGTGAAATGGTGGACTGT